TAGGAATTGAAATGCCAAAAATACTTTATTGTAAAGGACATCAAGGAACATCTGTGCCGTAACTACACTTGTATACAGACGGTTTCTGACTTAGGATGGTTTAACTTGTGATTTTCCACCTTTATGACAGGGTGAAAGTGAGAGGCATTCAGTGGAAACTCCATTTTGAGGATCCATACAGCCATTCTGGTTTTGACCTTCAGGGTGGTATTCAATACATTACATGAAATCACATGAGATAGTCAACACTTTATTTTACATAGGTGTTGCATGAGGTAATTTTGCCCTGCCAGAGGCTAATGTAAGTGTTCTGGGCATGTGTAAGGTAGTCGGGGCTAAGCTGTGATGCTCGGTATGTTAGGTGCATGAAACGCGTTTTCAACTTACTCTGGGGCTGTTGGGGCATAACCCATCGTAAGATGAGGAGGGCCTGTATCGTTTTCAGGCACACTTTGCTTTAGTGTAAATGCTCTCTTAGGACAAGTCGGGTGACTGGGGTACTCAAAAGTTAGGTTATAAACCCAAGACCTTACCTGTGGAAGCTGGCAGGTCTGGTCAGGGCTTTGGTCCTGCTGCCCTTTCTGATACACAGTGTCACGGCAAGAGGCAGGTGTCGGGGAAGCAGGCTTACAAGCCAATGTGCCGATCTTCAGAGAAACAGCCAAAAGGAATATTTTCTTCCAAAATCCATAGGCTGGATTCCAAATTCAACAGTTAAACCATTGTTTCAAACGTCTCAGAACTCCTGTTTGGAATTGCCCTCCAAATTCACAGAGGCAAATCTCGTACAGGTTTGTATTTTATTGATGAGGCACAGTTGTGTATTAGATATGGTGCTGTGGGGACCTGACCCAGTCCGCACTCACATGGCCATGACTGAATGAGCCCTGGGGTAGGGGAGGGAGACAAGAATTCCACTTAGGGGTGGTGCTGGCTTTGGGGCAAAGGTTGATTTGGCCAGGCAGGGTAGGAAGCATAGAAGTACCATGGAGACACCCTGAATGACCTTTTCAATAGAGCAGCTCAGCCTGTCAGCAGGTGCTCGCTTTGACTGTGCCCTCTATTCCCAGGGTCATTTCTGGTTCTCTGAACACACAGGGCTACTTTGAAACTCAGGGCCTTTGCACAAGTTCTCTGTGACTCAGCTGCCCTCTCCCTTGCAGATTTCTAATTCCTCTCTCAAAATTGAGCTCAGAGGCATCTCCCCCAGGAAGAAGACACCCTGCCCCTCCCCCAACCCTTTCCTAACCAGGGCTGGAGAGGAAACTAACATTGAGCAAGCCACCTTAGGCCGGGCACTGTTAGGACTGTCTCCCTGTGACCTTGTTTGACTCCATGACGCAGTATCATTATCCTCATTTTCCAGACTTGGAAACGAGCCACACAGCAAGCCAGGGGCAGAGCCCAGAGGCAGACCCAAACTGTGCCAAGCTTAGCCTCACTGGGGCCTTGCCCTGTCACTCTCACGCCATTTAGGAGTTTCGAAGGCTGTCCCGTCTGCTCTGTGAATTCCAGAGCCTGGCAGCTATGGTCAGATGGTGGCCCATGCAGGCTGGCACACAGCTGGGCTTGCTCTGGAAAGCTGGAGCTGTTGATTTGGGGGTGGCTCAGTCCCAATCCCAGTGGAGCAGAGAGGAGGTGGCTTCTTGGCCGGCAGGTGTCTCTCATGGCTAGTGGCTCTAGTGGCCACAGTTTAGATGCAAGGGATGAGGCAGTCACAGTGGGTACCCTCCTCACTCCGCTCATGAAAATGGGGCCCAGCGTCACTTCTGACACTTCTCTCCTGAGCTCCTCTCTCAGCTGCAACCAGGACCACGTCTCCCCACCAGCCCCTCCTCAGCACTGTGGGACCCTGAAGTTCCCGGCTCAGAATCACAGCTCTGGCTCCACTGGAGTTCTACTGTGTGCTTTTCTTTCTTTTTCAATGGTTCTCTATGTAAAAGCACTTTTGATTAAATGAAATATGTGATAACACTATAACATTTTATGGGAGTGAATCAAATTATTTTGGGTATCATAGCTGAGGAAGTTTTTTTTTAATTTAAAAAATCAGAAAACAATTTTTTTTTTTTTTTTTGCCTTTTCTTACCAGATTTATAAAGACGTGAACCTCTGTGAATACCAAATAAAGTAGGAGGCAAATCCCAACAAGTAAAACGAACAGCCCCGACTGTTTCTGCCAGCGGCATCTTCCTCATGGCGGTTTCAGTTCTATCATTCACCCTCACCTCGCCTCTCAGGGCTGTCCTGGAAGGTCTTGGAGGAGCCTGACCAGCCGCTGTGTTCTTCCGAAGGGCGGTGTGGAGGCCAAGGCAAGCAAAGTGTGCTGGACACAAAGGGTTCCAGTCCCCCCAGGCGCCTTTCATGACCCCATGCCTTGCAAAGAGTGACCAGGTTAAAGCCAAAGAATGGAGATTTTATCACGATTCTCTTGAGTTAAATTCTGAGATGAACACAGCAGGTGCGCAATTCCAAATGTGTTCAAAGCAGCCTGTGAGTGTATGTTAATACAGCTTCCTTACAGGTGTGGGTTTCCAAAGATGTGAAGCCCCAGGCAAATAGGGTGGTGTCACCAGCTCCAGGGCCAGGTTCGTGGGTTGCTATCTACTCACTATAGACAGAAACTCTCACTGGCATCATTGTGTTGGCCAAGCAAGACCCCCCCAGCCCCGCCCAGTGCGTTATAGAGAGATCCCAAATGCAGTGACCCACAGGAGCACCCCTTCAGCTGGAAGCCGGGGGCAGCTCAGCCAGCTCAGCTTTGGCCTTTTGGGCTGTTGTACTACCTGAAATAGTCCTGACAAATATCTAGATAGTTCTTTTAAGCACCGGGACTGTTTCTTTTCAATAAGCACTTGGAACAATTAGCCTGCGGTGTTTACAAAGGCCCCCTCCCTCCCTTATCAAATGTTTTGGGGCCAGGTGTGTTTCAAAATTCAACTCTTTTGAATGTTAGAAAGATCATATAGTACCTTATATTTTGCACACGGGGCAGTGCCAGGAATCAAGTTGATACTGCTACAGCAGAATGTATGCGAATTCATACCAAGTCAAACACTTACAGGTACAAATAGGCTCATAGCTTTTCAGCTGGGTTTTCACACCACATAAGGTCAAATGAGTCATGAAAACCTTGTAGTTTTCAGAGGTCGTTGATTTTGAATTTTTTTTTTTTTTTTTTTTTTTTTTTGAGGCAGAGACTTGCTCTGTTGCCCAGGCTGGAGTGCGGTGACATAATTTCAGCTCACTTTCACCTGCGCCTCCTGGGTTCAAGTGATTCTCCTGTTTAAGCCTTCTGAGTAGCTGGGACTATAGGCATGCACCACTATGCTTGACTAGTTGTTGTATTTTTAGTAGAGACAGGGTTTCCCCATATTGGCCAGGCTGGTCTCAAACTCCTGGCCTCAAGTGATCTGCCAGTCTCAGCCTCCCACAGTGCTGGGGTTACAGGGGTGAGCCACCATGGTAGGTTTGCTTTTGGAATTATTTATACATCTAGGCACTGGAGGTCCAGCTTTTGACTTCAAGGAGCTGCTTGTAATCTGCTAGGGATGGGTAAAGCTGACCTACCCGGCCACCTGTGAGGCTGGGCAGTGTCTGATTAGGAACCCAAGGCTGTTCCCGGGCCTCTCCTGTTGCCCGGCTCATGCATATGCTGTGGCGTCCACACACACTTCCCACGTGGCTGGTACAATTACCATGCAGGGAGGCGGGGACACGACGCAGGGAAGGAGTTTGAAGCCTGGGGCAGGAAAGGATGGGGCAGCATGGTTGGACCATGGAATCCAAGCTCAGGGGCTCTTGGCCCCATCCTCTGTCCCGGCACTATGCTGCACTTTGCTGCTGCTGAGCCTTCAAGGTCCTTTCTCATAAATGAGAAGGGGTGAGAACATGAGCTTTGGGATTTGATGTTTCTTACAAACTTAGAAGAACTAGGGTAACTCTGTGGTTTCATGTGCTGTAGAATTTCCAGGAAGGAAGAGAGGCCTTTATTTGCTGACATGGAGGAAGATACTTGTGGGGGAAATGGGTGGGATTAGGAAATATACTCAACACCTAATCAAAATGGTCCAGTGGTTTAGCATTTCTGAAAAATAAAAGAGAGAAGAGGATGACATTCCTCTCCTTCCTTCCACTCTGCACCTCTTCCTTCCCTCCCTCTGGCAAGATTATCAGGCTGGACCAGCTTCTTAGGGAATTTGTGGTGTGGTGGGGAAGGCTGCCAAGTCCCCTAGTGGCTCCATCCTAAGGTCTCCTGGAGTTTAGAAGACATACCCCATCTGGGGGCTCTTGGACAGCCTTGCTCACTATTGCCTGAATGCAAACACACCCAACTCTTCCAGAATGCATCCTGCATGGGTCCTCCTCGGTCCCTCTCTTCTGCAGCTCACCAGCCATGAGCCCTGTTCTCACTCGTGTATCCTCTAGAGGCTTCTCCTCTAAACATCTGCAGTCCTCCAGCCTGCAAGCTTTATAGACCACTCCATTTCACATGGAAAACAGCAAGCTTAAGGAATGTACCTGCAGGAAGGGTCATTGCTGTGGTCAAGCCTGGGGGCAGATAGGGCTCCTGGGGTCCCCTCAGCTGAGACCTGACCTCGCTGCTTAGATGCAGGAGTCAGAAGCTCTCCCAGTGACCCTAAAGTATAGCTACAGTCAAGAGCTATGCCTGGTCCAGCCCCTTCCCCTGTTGGTTTCCCAGCCTCTGGCTTTCCCATAGCCACCCAGCTGGATGATGGGAAGTCAGCTTCCTGGCTGCAGGTGTCCTGATTCCGCAGACCTGTCCCAGGCCCGACTGAGTTGTGTACTGACTGTGAGCCACTCCTTTAACCCTGCCCTGAATTACTCACTGGCCTCTGCGGTCCACGGGGCTAAGGTTTCTGTGCACAGCTGGATTATCAGCATATTGAGGGCAGAGGCCAGGCTGTCCCTTTCTCCAACCCCCAGCCAAGAGACAGATCTCTCCATGGTGACTGACTGTCCCCTTCCTTCCAGTGCAGGGACTACCGGGGCGGTATGCTGTCTGGGGACCTCTGCGAGGACCTGTGCGTGGCGGGAAAGCTGCTGTTCCAACGCTGCCTGCACTACAACAGGGGCAAGAAGGTGCTACAGGCTGACTGGCGGGGCCGGCCCGTTGTTCTCAAGTCCAAGGAGGAGGACTTCTCCAGTTTCCCGCCCCTCGGCCTGTTGGAAGGGGAGGGTGGCCAGGACATCCCCGAGGCGGAACTCCTCCTGATGGTGGCCGGGGAGGTTAAGAGCGCCCTGGGCCTGGAGCTGTCCAACAGCAGCCTGGGGCCGTGGTGGCCGGGCAGGTGGGGCCCGCGATGGCGGGGACAGCTGGCCAGCCTGTGGGCCCTGCTGCAGCAGGAGGAGTATGTCTACTTCAGCCTGCTTCAGGACCTCAGCCCCCATGTGCTGCCCGTGCTGGGCTCCTGTGGCCACTTCTACGCCGTGGACTTCCTGGCTGCGGGCAGCCCCCACCACCGGGCTCTTTTTCCCCTGGACCCGGCCCTGGGTGGCCCTGGGGGTGGCCAGGCCAAGGCCATCAGTGACATTGCGCTCAGCTTCTTGGACATGGTGAACCATTTTGACAGTGACTTTTCCCACCGCCTCCACCTCTGCGACATCAAGCCAGAAAACTTTGCCATCCGGAGCGACTTCACAGTAAGTGGTGCAGGGTGGGTGTGTTTCTGTGTGAAGAACGGAGCTCTTGGGTCTGGTGGGAAGGGAATGAGAGGGTTTCTGAGCTCCTGTCCTGAGTTAGCAAACCACTGTTGCTTCTGTAGTCTCAGAACTCAGAGAGCTCCCACTCACCAGACCACTTCCTCTCAGATGTTAGCAAGGAGCAGATGCATTTGGAGTGAGGATTTGAATGGACGGAGCCCACAGTGGGAGGCAGAGGGCCAGGCCAGGTTCGTCCTCCCAGAGGGCTGTTCTGGTTCCTTCACCCGAGCCCCATGGCTGCTTTGAGTAGCCTCTCTTGCAGGTCTGTTTAACTTGAGCAGAAAATAGTCCGCAGGAGGTGAGGGGCTGCAGAGGGTGATGAGGGAGTGGGGGGCCTCTGGTGTGGAGGTCCTGTTCTCAAGCCGCACACGCTCTGCGACCCGGTGATTTTTTTCTGGAGAGGTTCCAGTTAGTTTCCATTCTCTATGTAAGACTTCTAGAGGAAGAAATGGAGCTTTCGTGCCTTCTGCAAGGGAAAGACCTGCCCAGGTAGAATATCTGCCACTGCATGCGGCACATCTCCTGCCCGGGGGCCGGCAGCCGCGTGAGAACAGCAGGAACGGAAGAGCAGCAGTGGGAGCCTCAGTGTCTTCATGTAACACAAACCCCTCTCCCTTTACCTGGCTGGGCGAATACTGGTGTGTCAGAATAATGCTGCTGCAATGATCCCAGTGCCCTCAGGCTGTGCCAGGCACTGGGACCCTCCAACAGGAAGTAGCGATAGGGCTGGCAGGGATGCCGCGGGTGCGGGATGGGTTTGGGGAAGGTGGTGTGCTCTGCTTCCCACCTGCTGTAACAAGTTCATTCCTACGCAGTCAGTGCCGCCAACCGAACAGCCAGACCAGATTGGCTCCAGTCACTGGGGCCTGCTGGTCACTGTGGGGCCTGGTTCATGGTAGGGTCATGCTCTTCATCATGGTTGTAACATAAAGGGACAAAAAACAGGCACAGTTACTGCCAGTCATGGCCTCCAAGGCAGGTGGCACAGGAGTGGCATGGCCTTCTGAAAGCAGCTGGAAAACGAAATCTGCTGCCCGTGTAAATCCCTTCTCCAACCACGCCCTCATCCCTGTGAAGGGCTGTACATCTCACCTTCAGTGCTCTGTCCTAATGCCTCGGCCCCCGCTGCCCTGCAGGGGCTGACAAGCCAGGGGTGCCTCAAAGTGTGGCAGGGAATGAGCTAGGAGGTTCTGGGAGATTCCAGGGCATCTGTGTGCTGGGCTTGGAACTCCAGGGAAACTCAGCTCCGTTTGCAATACTGAGTGCCATGTGCATCTTCCAGACACTGTGCCGATATGTGTGTGGCGGGGAATGACCCACAGGCACACTGAGGCCTTGGGGAGGAAGTCGGGGAGTATCCACACACAACCCCCCACCTCTGGGCAGCTGCGGGCCAGTTCTTGCCTCTCAGTTACTCCCTTCTTCCTCTGGCAGGAATCAATAAGCATCAGTGAGTGGGATCCAGCAAGTGCCGTAATTGTTGAGGGAATTTCGAGGATATTGAGGGAATTTCAAGGATATCTGCTTCCTGAAGGAGCTGGGGCTGATGGGGTCTGTGAGGCCGAGTCTGCGACATCAGATGCTTTTATCTACACACTTGTTGATTGTCCAGTGACTGGTTTGTGGGAACCACCTAAGTTGTGCCTCCAATACCTTGCACACCATCAGCACAAAACATCTGCTCAATGAAACCAGTGACTACGAAGCCTGCACCTAGCCCTGGACTGCGTTTTGGTGGCTGGTGCTGCACCACTCAGGGCTGTTACCTCCACTGCAGCCTTGGCTTGGGTGAGAATAGGGAGGGGAGGACAGGAGTCGTCCCGTTCACCAGGTCTGCTGTTCTGGACCCTTCTTGCAGACCCTGGGGTTCAAGGAGTTATTTTACCCAAGTATTTTACAACTTTTGAGTGAAAACCAGCAGTATCTGCCTCACCAGAGAGCTCATTAGAAATGCAAATTCTCAAACGCCACCCCAGACCTACTGAATCTGAAACAACGGGGGATGGGAGCCAGCAATCCCTGTCTTAAAAACAGTCCTCCTAGTTGATTCTCATGTGGGCTCAAGTTTGAGAGATGGTGAGCTCAGAGTGCAGCGGGCGGGTCCTGCCTTTGGCCCAGGTTGCTGGGCTGCCCCTGCGGAAGGAAGGGGTGCCTCCCAGCGGATCTTGAGGGTGTGCCCAGTGGCTGTGAGTACCTAGGAACCATCACTACTTCATGATCCTGAACTACTGCCCCCCAGTACCCTTTGCCAGCAGATGGTATGAAGAATGAAATAATTCTTGTTCATTTTCCTATTCTGATGCCAGGAGAAAGTTTGAAGAAGATGAGGCAAGTTGGGTAATTTCATGCAGGAAGGATTTTATGATTCTACTGATATTAAGAAACATGATGTAGATTTTTATGTTTTTGTTTTTTTATTTATAAAATACCATTCTTATTTTAGGTGCATAGGGTTACATTATAAGAGCTATAATCCATTGTAGACCTCATACATTAAAAATTAAAAAATAAATCTGGCTCTCCTTGGGAGATGAGAAGGAAACTATCAGAAATGGAAAGGAGAAGTTGCAAGAAGCTAAAATTCTAATTAGGGGCCGGGGAGGGGAGCTGGGGAGTGTGCCTGAAACCGTAGAAGGAAGAGTCGTAGCCCCAGTAATGAATTATAAAGACGGGAGAGTCATTAGCATAGCCCTTCTTCATTCTTAGTGTGTTAACCAGGGCAAATAATGAAATCAGCTATTTGTTTTGGCTAAATAATGGGATAGGAAAGATTAAAATGAGAAGTCGTAGCGCCCGAATTCGTGATTAGGCAAAACCCCTTAAATGGAGAAAAGGTCTATATTGTTTATTTTCATTGTTCTCCACATAGTTTGAAATACAACTCCATTTTACTAAACAATCCCCAAGAAACCTCATTGCCTTTAGCATCAATCCTGAATGGAAAACTAAAACTAAAACCCAAACCAAAATGTGCCTCCCAAACTGCATAGAACTGAGGAGGAATACCAATGACTGAAGCGCTGTTTGAAACACGCCCAAAGGGAGAAGGAAAGGCTGCCGTTTCCACGCTGACCTGTGAAGGCTTGTGAAATGCCACTGACTCCATCGAATTCATCAACTTTCCTAGTGGCTGTTTAACACCCGAAGCTAGAAACGGCTTGATTTGGGCAGATTCCAGGTCTTCTCAGGTTCGAGCTGATCTGTTTTTGTTGTGGCATCCAGGTGACGGAGGAAGAGCTGCATATTTTAGAAGTTCTTCTTTTTCTGTTTTTGAAGTCTGTTTGGTTCAATGCCAGGGAGATAAATCTGAAGTTCCAGGGGTCATCGGGTCCTCACAATGACAGGGGAACTCAGGCATGGCTCCTGTTCAGGGCCTTTGCATATCAATCTTAATTCGAGAACTTACCTTCACTTTGTCGTCTGTCGATCCAAAACCAGCTGACTCAGGTAACAGACATGCCGTGAAGGGAACACAGGCCCTGCCCACCTCAGTTTCTCCCTCAAACCCAGAGACCTGCCTCTCGAATGTGGATTCCTTGGATTGCTTGTATTCATGAGGATAGATTCTTTGTATCTTACAGTTTTACAGTCCTGACTCTTGAAGGTCAGAGACCAAAGTGATAAGGGAGCGGAGGGGAAATTCATTTACAAGACATCTCAGAGATCCTACCGGCAAAGCTGAGAAAGTGTGTCAAGATGAAAAGTGATATTTGTGGTGACAGTTCCGAATCCTGGGCTTTCACCGTGGCTGCAGAGGTTCTTTTTGTAGTTAAAGCCTTGCAATAACTATGACAGTTGCCTGTGTAAAAGAAAATGCATGTAGACACTTTAGGGGAGCAGTCCACTTCCCAGGGCATGGCTGGGGCTTTCCTCTTGGCTCGTGGGAGTTCTGGGATCACCTGTGACCTGGACAGTGGCACCCGCACGAGCTGAGCAGAAGCTGTGAACAGGCCCCCTCTCCACGGAGCTCACCAGTAGCCCTTTGATAGCCCTGTGCTCTTTTGATTACAGGTGGTGGCTATTGATGTGGACATGGCCTTTTTTGAACCTAAAATGAGGGAAATCCTTGAACAGAATTGCACAGGAGATGAAGACTGCAATTTCTTTGACTGTTTTTCAAGGTGTGATTTGCGAGTCAACAAGTGCGGAGCGCAGCGCGTCAACAACAACCTACAGGTGAGCAGAGGCCGCCAGGGCTGGGGGAGGGAGGGTGCTCTCCGGCTGTTCCTGCTGCTAGCACTGCAGATGCCCTCTGTGGAGCTCAAGGGCAACCTTGTCAGGCCATCCATCTGGCTCAGTCGATGTGGTCAATAAAGGCAGGACTGCGGGGATGGGACAGTCATGTGCTCTTTGTTGCCCTCCCCCAGGGTTGTTGGTCAGGTGACCCAGGGCCATCTGTTAGGCGCACCCCCTGCAGAGCTGGCTGCTGGGCTTCCTCTTGCCCAGGCTCCACCCCACGTATCAACAACCTCTCATGGGCACGGGCACACACACAATGAGAACCCAGAGACTAATCCACCAAAGACAAGACTGAGAAGGGTGCAAAGCAGTCCTGAGACACTGGCCTCACTAGAGGCTGGACAGAAAGCACCATCCAGACAGGCCAGGAGTCAGGACCAGAAGGTAGTTTAGAGTGGAAGAAACGAGGCAAGTCCAGAAATCAGCCACAAATGGAATGCACGCAGGACTCGGGCATTCGGAGGCAGCGGGCCTCAGGCTCCCTGTCTGGCGTTGAAGCATCTCCCCTCTTGTGGCAGAAGCTGTTTCTTTCGGCCCTCACTGAGGCTTTCATGGAGGGTGGATGCACGTGGGCCCACAGGTGCTCATCATAGCTGGAGGAGGCCCCGCAGTGTCCAGGGGGACCTCCCCGTGGCCTGGTTGCATGTGATCGCTTACGAGGCTCTGGCTTCACACTCTCCAACCTGCTCCCCTAGTGGGCCCTCCACTGTAGCTTGTCCTCCTCCTTCCTTGAACCTGAAAGGCCAGTGTGAGTCCACTGCAGACCCAAAACGCAGGTTACATAGGAGCAGGAGAGAGGAGCCCAGCATGGTGCTACATCATCCGTGATGGGGATGATTTGGGAAGACGGGGACAGGTTTGCTGTTAACCTAGTGGTCCCAGCCAGGCCAAACAAACACACCGACTCTACCACTCCAGAGTCTACAGAAACCTTCTGGGCCAAAGAATCACTGAGTATTTCCCCTTTCAGGAAGCCTAGGAACGCGGTGGCCTTCAGAGGCATCTCCAACCCAGCCTCTTTAATGTGGACTCACACCCTTGGTGGAGTCTGTCATGAAATCATTCTTCTTGAGCTGTGGGATAATTTTCACCTGAGCATCCACTGCCTTGCGATCCCATCCCACAAAATGGGCACACAAACACCTGCGCTTTGCACTGTAACGAGAGGCTAAGTTTCCTCCTTTATGTAGAAAGGGCTCTTACTGATTCACTAAGGGGCAGGAGGAACACGAAGAAAATTGGCAGAACAGTCGCCAAACACACAAATGATGAAATCCAAATGGCCAAGCAATTTGGAAAAGTATTTTGTCTTACCATTCAAAGGCATGCAGGTTAAAATTCAATGATAATAAATTTCACTTACCAATCGGGAATAGTCGTTGAAATGCTACTAGTTAACAGTTGAGGCTTCAGGGAAACAGAGAAATGTCTATATTGCTAAGGTGATTGTGAATCGCTTCTCTCTTGAGGGTGTGTGGCAGTTAGACTTAGCCCTGCTCTTGAGTTGGGCAATTTTATTTGTGCACATATCTGATTATTGACTTTGAATAAAGTCCTAGAAATGAAATTACACTTTTTATTAGGATACGAGAAAATATGAAGCATTAGGTGAAAAAAAATGCAGGTTACAAATCAGTCTTGACAATACCATCCTGTTTTTTTGTTAAATAGCATCTGATCCCTCATATACCAAAATGTCAAATACACCGTTATATCCCAAACATCAAAAGCAAGTATTTCTGGAAGGTAGGATTACAAATAATTTTCTTTATTTTATATTTTCTTAGTTTTTTACTTTGTATTTCCATTTTATTTTAGAGACAGGGTCTCGCTTCATCACCCAGGCTAGCGTGCAGTGGCACAATCAGCTCACTGCAGCCTTGAACTCCTGGGCTTAAGTGATCCTCTCACCTCAGCCTCCCAAATAAATGGGACTGCAGGTGCATGCCACCACACCTAGCTAACTTTTTAATTTTTAATTTTTTGCAGAGACGTGGTGTTACTATGTTGCCCAGGCTGGTCTCAGGCTTCTAGTCTCAAGTAATCCTCCCATCTCATTCTCCCAAAATTCTGGGATTACAGGTTCGAGCTATCATACCCAGCCTTAATTTTCTACATTTGGAATCCAAAATACCCCCAAAAATCTTGCTCTGCATAAATTTACAAATCAATAAAATGGAAAAAAAACTGTCTCAGAAATAGACCTGTGAAATACAGGTATTTAGCCTCCAATAAAGGGGGCCTTTTAGACCAGGGGAGGAAGAGCTGGATTGCACAGTGAGCAGTGCTGGTAAACTGGCTGGCTGAGCATGACAAACACTATGTTAGCTCCCTACTCCTGACCTCACACTACATTCCAGATGACTCAGATACATGAAAAGATGAAATCCTTAAGGTACCAGAAAAAGCTGGGCGAGTTTCAAATATTATTCTAGTGTAGAGAAGGCCTTTGCAAGTATGAGACAAAGCCAAAGAGGAACCGTTGACAAATTTAATTATCTTTCAGAAGAAACCCCATGTTGGTGTAAACAAAATTACACACACACAACAGAGCAAATTTAAAAGTTACATGAGAAAATTTGCAAAGCGTTTGTGGTTCTTCTTATAGACTAGGGATACAGAGGTTGGAAGGGGGCTCCTTCTGGCTGCTGGGGCTCATTCTCCCAGGACTGGCTTCACCATGGGGAGACCCACTTTCCAGAGGCAGCATCTAGTGATTAGTTTAAGAGGGTGAACCTCAAGCCCCCTGTGCCTCACTAAGGGAACTCCACAGGGACCCCCAGCCCCACACATTTGCTTCTTCCTCAGTTCCATGGAGTGTGGTTCCAAAGGACAGGCCTCAAAGAATCCCTGCCTGCAAACCTCCGTCTTCAAGTCTACTTCGTGGGGAACCAACCTAAAGCAAGGGCAATGTCCTTAAGATATAAAGAGCATCTACAAATGAACACAACAAAGGCCAAAATTAGAAACTTGACCATTCATTGAAAAGGAAACACTAGTAGCTCTCAAACTAAGAGAAATGCAAATGAAACCATTTTCACCCATCTGTTGGCAGAATGGATCTGTGGCGCTGGTGTTGGAGAGGCTAAGGGAGGACAAGCATTCTTTGATACATTGCCAGGGAGTAGGAATTAGTAGAAATTTTATGGAGTCAATTTAACATATCGATCAAAACAAAAATGCACATGCCCTTAGACCCGGAAATCCCATTTCTAGAAATGTAGTCACAGGCACAAAATGCAATAGCATATATCTGCAAGACATTTATCGCAGCATTGTTCATAACAGAAAATGTTATTATGCAACCTGAATTCCATCGACAGGAACTGGTTAAATAACCTATGATACATGCACACATTTCACAAGTGGCCATTCAGTCACATGGAATATCCTCATAAGAACTGATTTGAAGGGAATGGCTGCTCGAGGTGGCTCATGCCTGTAGTCCCAGCACTTTGGGAGGCCAAGGTGGGTGAATCGCTTGAGCCCTGGAGTTCAAGAACAGCCTGGGCAACATGGCAAAATCCTGTTCTCTACAAAAAATATAAAAACTAGCTAGGCATGGTGGCACATGCTTGTAGTCCCAGCTACTCAGGAGGCTGAGGTAGAAGGATCGCTTGAGTCAGGGAGGCTGAAGTTGCAGTGAGCCAAGATGGCACCACCGCATTCCAGCCTGGGTGACAGAGTGACACCCTGTCTCAAAAAAAAATCAATTTGGAGTGATCTCCCTCATATAAATTGGGGTGGAAGTTTGAGAGCAGCGGGTGTAATATACTACCCATGTGTAAAAAAAGGGAATGTCAAAAAGCGCATGTCAAAGACTGTCTCATTCTTAGAGCAGGAGCTGAGCGGCCAGGTGGGGTGGAGCCCAAGACTGCAGTCTGGCCTTAACTTTTTAGATTTTGCACATGAAAATGTATTCTCTATTAGGAAAAACAACAACAACAAAAAAACACAATTAGGTTTTGAAAAGAGTCCTTGCCTTTGCAGGGATTGTAAAATGGAAGTTGAAGTTTTTGTCCTCTGTGAAGCACTGGCTCCTACAATGGAGCCGTTTGTTCATTGAATCTGATACCGAGTGTGATACAGAGAAATCAAGCACGAGGAAGCATGCAGCTCCCGGTTCATTTCTCCCAAGTCTGGGAAGCTGGAGGAGCTATAAAACAAACAACATGTTTACACTGAGAAATTTCAAGAGATCCTCAGCATCACTGAATTTCATACCCGATTAGAATGAAAGAGAGTGGCTAATTCTCACTTCTGCTCCTAGAATAACACGTTTCACAGAGCCTTAGAAAAGCCTTATGCCTGCAGCCTGTTCTCTCAAATACACCCTTTTATCCGTGAGCCTTAAAGTGCGATACAGGCAGCCACTCAAGTTCACACGCTTCTCCCTCACGCACTGTTTGGCCCTCCAGACGACCTGGTCAGGTGGTCATCGTGGTCACTAGGACCGGCTTGTGGATAAGAAAGCTCATCTCCAGGTAATGACGGCAAAGCTGGCCTCCCTCAGACCTGCAGAGGACCAGCTCTTTCTGCAGCAGTGACTGCCTGTGACTTCTGCTTCCCTTCCTCCCTAGAAATGTGTCCGGTCCTTTTTCAGTGTCACCCAGGACTTCCTCCATCTGCTGGGGGGCTGGAAAAGGAACTTTCTGTCTCACGCCCAGGTCGGCTTCTCCTCTCGGAGGAGGTGTTGTTTGTTCCTGGTGCTGAAAGGTTTAAGCTGCAGAAGTGAACGCACGTTCCAGAATCTGATGGTCTCTGAATTGTGTTCCCTGAAGGATGGGGGTGGGGCAGGAGGGAAGCTGAGATCTGTTTCAGAACCAATCTGGGCTTGGGAAGCTTTTAGGAGGATTTGCTGCCCTGAATTAACTGCCCGCCCTTCTTTCCTTCAGGTTATCTGTGACAAAATATTTCGCCATTGGTTTTTGGCACCTCTCAAGAGCGCTGCAGTCTCTTTCCAGCTTCAGCTGCAGTTACAGGAGGCGGTGCAGGAATGTGCAGACCCTGTGGTCCCCAGCGGGAACACCCAGAGAGCAGCCCCCAGCATGTTCTGGAAGCTTCGCAGACTCCTCCAAGCCACACTGAGGGAGCTGCAGGAGGCAGAGAAGTAGCCACTTTCTGGCCTTGAACAAGCTCACACAGAAAAAAAGAGAGCTTGATGGATTCCTTCTGCCATCGTTTTAAAGATGAGCCATTTCCCTGTGCAAACCAGTGATCTCTGGGGTGCTGTTCTGGCCTCCACAGTATGGAGTGCCAAGTGCTGCTTCCAGAGACGTACCTCCCTCGATCTGGTCCTGCCCTGGCCTCTGACCTGTTGCCTGGTGTAAAATGAGATGAGGGAGGGGGTGCGGTACAGAGCATTTTACTTCAGGGCTCTCTGTCAGAAGACACAAACCTGTGTGCGATTGCTCGAAGCAGAGAGCACTTGTATCTGGTTATACCAGCAGAGTTCCAGCTGTTCTTTCCCATACATCGTTACCACATTAAAGTGTGTGTGCATGCAAATGAATGTGTATGCCTGTGCCTGGGTGCACATGAGCATGTGAGCATGTGTGAGCGTGCACACATGTGCCCATGAGTGTCTGCATGTGTGTGTGTGCACAGGCGAGTGTGCTCATGAGGCATATGTATGCCTGTGTGAATGTGTATACGAGTGTGAATGGGTGTGTGCACATGAGTGCACAGGTGTCAGCATGTGTATAAGTCTGGGCACATGTACATGACTGAGTGTGAGCAGGTGAGTGTGTTGGGGATGTGTGTTAGGGTGGGGAGTGGTGCTTTCTCTAATGTGTCCTCTGGAACAGCTTGTCAACCAAGCAAAGAAGTGTGACCTTTCTTTTGGAATACAATAAAAAAAATACATCTTTAGGGAATATAATTTGCGTTGCAGAGTGTGTAATGGCTGGCAGCTTATAGAATTTTTCATTTTGTGGGATCCACCAAGGTTATGGATGGGGCTTTCGGGAGCCAGTATTTCATACATCTTCCCTTGGGCAGGAATTGCAGGTTGGCTTGATGCACTTGAGATGCACTTCCCACTCGAGAGAAAATCGAAGTAGAGCGAATGCTAAGGTCAGCTTTGGCTCCAGGCAGGACCAGAGACCCGCACCTTTCTTTTGAGGGATTGCAGACCAAGTGATAGGCATCAACTCACACTGAGGCATGGTACGCTCACCAGTGGTGACCCCAAGGAAGCTTTCCAGCAAAACACAGACGGGGCACGGCCATGTGGAGCCAGTGAGCTTTCACTTAAAGGGATCTGGTTTCTACTTACGCCTGTGACCCATGAGTGCTCAACAAACCAACTGATCACCCCTTTTTAGAAATCCCATGAAAAGGGAAATTGAGAAAGATGGGAGAATCAGAAAATCATGTTGGTGGGTGACACATTGGAGAAGACTTATTAATCTGACGTTTTAAAAGTCACAAATCAACACATTCCAAATGATCTCTTATCCTGGTCTGCAACCCCTTTCTAAACCTGAGAAAGGGGAGTACCTTCTTCCGTAATTTGGGGTCACCTTGACTGACTCTGCCCCTCAGGGCACTCTGAGAAATGATGTGTGGGGCTAGGTTGATCAAAGGCCCCAGCTGCAAATTCTGCCTTCCCCAAGGACCTGTTGGAAGGCCCACGGCCAGCTGCTATTCTTATCCATCACCACTGGGGATCTTCCAAATGACACCGAGTTCCACAGAGGGCCTCCTCTCATTACGGACAGGAAGACTGGCTTTGCAATTTTATTCTAGCAAGAAGGAAAAACCCACGTCAGCCACCCTGTGGCACAAGTAAATTAAAACCAAAGTTCCATGGTGAGGACTAGGATTAGCGAATTCCACAGGAAAGGGGGCTCTGGGCTGTAGGGCAGAGGGTCCTTTTTTCCCCAGTGCTGCACTGGGTGTGTTGCTTTTCTGTGGTAGTCAGGGGCATACTTTGGGTGAGTTCACCTTCTGGGCAGGTCCTCTATAAGCAAAAAGGTTTACAGGAAGACGGGTGTGAGATGGAGGGAGGGAGGGAAGGAGGGAAGCCCCACCCAGCGTTGCCCTCTGTGGCCTTTAAACAGTGGGTTTTGCTCTGGGCGGTCCAGTGGGTCTCTCCTGGGTGGACTCTGGGATGCCAGCCATTTGTTAGTGGCCTGAGCTCACTGACCAGGCAGCAAAGCCAGCCTGGAAAAGGGAAAAAATTAGTTTTCCTTTCAACTAAAATGGAAAGACATGTTTTTGTTTACTATGGACACTACACAACATATAATTACCCAACACAATTGTGGTTTTATTGATGAAAGGGAGCTGTTTTCTCTCTTCCTGTTATGTTAGGCTACCCAGTTATACACACACACACACAAACACACACCCTTTTCCATCCCTGCCTGGGAATTCCCATAAGGGCAGCAGCTCTTAAATTTTGGTGAAGCTTAGTTTGGTTTTTAATTTTGAAACCTTGCAAAATAATGCTTTTATGTAATGTAATAAGTTAACAGTGTGTATATCAATATTTAGTATTTTGAATATGGCAAATGAGTTTCTTCTGGCTGATCTAATTGAGCAACAACCCCACTCACAGGGGAAAATGTCTCCCTAGATGATTTCTATATTTTGTTATAATAACACATGTTAGACGGAACACTCTCAGAGACACGTTGATGGGATCTGAGAAAGATTATAAAGCGAACTCATCAAGCTCAGGCTATTTCTCTTTCATTATCCAAATGAAAGCAAATGGTGCTTTATTCATCTCCAGTTCTTCATCAGGATTCCTTTGCCACAGTTTACCCAGATAAATGGTAGTTAAAACGTCATTTGATGAAAAGAAAGAATTCCCTAATTGTATACTCTATTGGCTTACAGCTGACAAACCCTAACACATTGTGGTCTGTGTAGAAACTGTAGGGGCTCAGGCTACTTGCTTGTGGATACCTGGACTGGTCAACAAGTCAGTTGGCCAACATCAGCTGGCAATGCCACAAAATGTCACAAAGGTTCACAAACACTGCCAATATTGCTAACCCTCCTCTCAATTCTCTTCTCATATGAGGCAAATAAAAGCTAACAGTCCAGAGACATGCTGCCTCCTAGAAGCCCACCAGGCTTAGCCTCCCATGCCTCCTGGCCCATCCTAAAGCCCAGCCTGCTCAGCCCTTCTAGAGTATCTAAGATGAACATCCAGGACATTGCCTTAAATGATTGGAAGAATGACTATTTTTAAAACTTGATTTGGAAGCTGTTCTTTGAATAGCGGTAGGTGGAGGAGTTTGGTTGAAAATTTTTTAAACCAATAACAGCATGAAGATGCTCTTGTGTTCACCACACTAGCCCCTGTAGTTGGCAAACAAATGCCACTTGGGCTCTAACATCTGTTAGTTCAGGGAAAATAGAGCTATGGAAAGAAGTGCCCCCACCTGGTTCACCGTCCCGTGCTGCTTCTCCTTAAAACCTGCCTTTTGCTTCTGTTCCTTTGAAAAAGCAATCTGCTACAGCTGAAGCTGATGGAGCTGGTCATTGAGGTTCATTTACAAACTTACCTCCCAGAGTCCGCTCCTCACCTTCTAAATCGGGATAACCACCTCGCCCACAGCCTGTTGTGAGGATTTAAGGCGATGATGTGCACCGAGCTCGTGGCACAGGGCCTGGTGCAGAAACAGGCACGGGAATCGTCCACAAATGCCAATGGAAGGACTCCAGGTAGGGGACCAGCTTCAGAATCCCACCACACCAGCACTCTAGCTCAGGAAGACCCAGTGCTGGGCTTTAACTCCGCACGGAACTGTGCCTGGAGCCACTCTCTGTGGATGCTGGTCTTGGCTAAAAGCTTCGTCCAGGTTTTCCTTAATGACTTAAAGCAGCGGTCCCCAGCCTTTTTGGTACCAGGGACTGGTTTCATGGAAGACAGTTTCTCCATGGACAGGGTGGGGAGGGGGTTGGTTTTGAGATGATTCAAGCGCATTACATTTATTGTACACTTTATTTCTATTATTACATTGTAATGTATAATGAAAAAATTACACGACACACCATAATGTAGAATCAGTGGGAGCCCTGAGCTTGTGTTCCTGTAACTAGATGGTCTCATCTGGTTGACGGGAGACAATGACCCATCATCAGGCATTAGATTCTCATAAGGAGCATGCAACCTAGATCCCTCATATGTGCCGTTCACAATAGGGTCCGCGTTCCTATGAGAATCTAATGCTGCGGCTGATCTGACAGGAGGTGAAGCTCAGGTGGTGACGTGAGGGATGGGCAGCAGCAGTAAGCACAGATGAAGCTCCACTCACTTGTTCACTGCTCGCTCCTGTGGTGCAACCCAGGTCCCAACAGGGCCCAGACCAGTCCTGGTCCATGGGGAGCTGGGGGTTGGGAACCCCTGAATGAAAGGAGACCAGAGAGTGGATGCAACTGGACGCTGCTCTCGGTGGACACTGACATCCTCAGCCAGCTTCTGTTGCTGGGCCCCAGCACGTTTTAAGGCTAGGTGTTGACAAATCACAAGAGTTGGATGTTATTGGTTGATTCCGTTTCTGCCTATTTAATAGGAGTGGGAGACAGATCTTATCAATTCGCATTTCCACGTCACTGAGGCTGGGCTTGTGGATTAGCCACATGTCTGCTTTTTTGGTGAATTGTGCACATACTTTGCTCATTGTTCACTAGGTCGTCTTTCTAAAAAATGATGAATCCGGTATAAATGCTGCAGATATTTTCTTCCCGTGCACGGTCTGTGTAACTATTAACTGCCACTGTCAGCGAGGAAACAGATGACTGAAGCTGGCTGCTCTTTTCTAAAAACATACTTTGTTTTCTTTCGCTGTTGAGTACACTTTAGGGTAAAAGGCTGTCTGACCGCTTTTCCCCCCAAGTCTAATGGCTTTCAAGTTTGCTTTCTAAAATGCATCCTAGAGAGCTGTCTGCTCCCGAGCCCTGTCCTCTCCCGGACTGGCCACTTTTGCTTTGTGATGTGAGAATACCCAGGACCGATTTGTCCCCTCTTTTGGATTCTGAAACCCGCCTCAAAGGGTTTTGATCCCCAAGGTTGGCCTTCCTTCTGCTCCTTGTATTTCGCCAGTGGGGTGTAGTTCACTCTTCCTGTGTGTTGCTGAGGCTCAGCCTTTCAAGAAATCCTACAGGACACTTTGAAGAGCAGAGAAAGGTGTTTGCTGGGCTCCACTTTGAGTGTCTTGTCTGAGCAGCTGGCGTGGTCTGCTGTGCTGGACCCCTATCAACTGCAGTAGGGCTGGCAGCAAAGCAGCTACATTGTTTGGGGTCTATATCCCGGGGTTCCTTGTCATGCCAGGAAAATTTAAGACATGGGCACACACGAGGAGTTTAGGAGAGAGGTTTAATAGATGAGAGAGAAACAGTTCTCTCCATAGAGAAAGGGGTCTCTGGTTGGGAAGGACCAGCTGGTGGCCAAGGCGCCAGATTTTATAGTCTGGTTTTAGGAGGTGGTGTCTGACTCAGCTCGGACTCACAGATTGACTGGATCGGGTATGACGTTTACATAGTGCATGGGGGAGGGGGAAGGCTGGTCACCTCACCCTAATCTTATTAGGCAAATGGGCTTTCCAGTGGATCGGGCCATCTTGTCTGCTCGGCTATACACGTGGCTGGCAGAGAAGGGAAGATGGAGCTGGCATCCTCAAGCTGTCTAGTCCCTCGACGCCGCCAGCATTCGCTCATGCAGCCTCCCAGCTTGCTCGTCTCTCTGCAGCTTGACTTTACAGGCTGCTCGACGCTAGAAAAGGATTTGGGGCTGTTTTTCATTAACAAGAAAAGCCTTTCTGAGGACTCACAGGCCCTCACTATCGGCCTAAGTAATTGCTTCTTAGCTCCTGTACCAGCAGGTTTGGGAGGCTGAAGAAGAAACACGCAGA